CGATTTTGCAAAAACAATACGCACGTATTAATAAGCCATAACCAGAGGGAGCCTTTGTACAAAAGTCGATTGTTTGGATACCTCTATCCCATTTGTGTTTCAACCGTGAAGCAGTTGTGTTTGCATGGCTGTGTTTCGGTTTGAAGGGTGGGACATGGCGTGAATTTACTGGGTACAGAAGAATAACACCTGAGTCCTCAGGAATGGCAACGCATGGGGGGGGGGGGCATCATGGGCGAAACAGTATACGTTGTTATGTCCATGGTACTGCTCATGTCTATAGGCGACGGTTATCACTTTTCATCAGGTGGTCCGTCAGCTTGTTTGCCATTCTAAGTTGTATAAAAAAAAGCAATGTTTAATTAAGGAATTTAATTACTTATATACTTATATATTTGGTGGGGATTTGAGTGGCGACCCTATACGAGCAAACGTAGTGTACGACACTCATTAGATGGAGCGACGACCTCAATCGCTTTGCATTGTAGAAAGTCAGTGGATGCAAGTGGTTCAGGACTGTTCCTTATGGCAGTCTATGGGGGAGAGCTATGTCCAGCAGTGGACAGATAATGGCTGATATGATGAAGATCACTTCACAATTCATAATGTTAATATTATAAATTTGACAGTGAGTTTGTTTGTTACTTTACAGCACCTTAACTACTTCACCAATGACTATTTGTATTATATAATACAGGCAGATCAAGGAAGGAGTTGGTGTCGTGTCGTATCAAGAGGTGAAGAGACACGCTGAAAATCGTAGTGAGTGGCAAGAGCTGCACCGACAAGAGCTCAGCTCTTGAATAGGATAGATAGATAGATAGATTAGACGTGGACAAAGACAGTAAAAGCCAGTTGTATGCTATAAAATTATTATTACTATTAATACTGTACATTATATTTAGTCAAAGCAATATTTAGAATTCGATTAGTCATGACCAAGACGCCATATGTAGCTGTTATCAGATAAAACATGTACACATACGGACATACATAAGTATTTTTATATTAAAATGACGTAATGCTAGATGATTTACGATCGCAGTGTACGAGTATAATGACTCTTATGTAGTACTTTATCCATTCACCATAAATAATGTGAATTTATTATTTTTCTGTATTGTTATACCACTATGTGTCCTGGCATGGAAAAGATCACCTCTTCTTTTCCCATGGGTGTTGTAAGAGGTGTTGAGGGAGACTTTGTACAAAAGTCGATTGCTTGAGTACCTCTGTACCATTCGTGTTTCAACCGTGAAGCAGTTGTGTTTGCATGGCTGTGTTTCGGTTTGAAGGGTGGGATATGGCGTGAATTTACTGGGTACAGAGGAATAACACCTGCGTCCTCAGGAATAACAACGCATGAGGGGTATCATGGGCGAAACAGTATACTCTGTTATGTCCACGGTACTGCTCATGTCTATAGGCGACGGTTACCACTTTTCATCAGGTGGACTGTCAGCTTGTTTGCCATTCTAAGTTGTATGAAAAAAAAGAGTTTACAATCATTTGTTATTATTGTTACTCAGGGATAATTATAAATAACGAAATGGATTCTTCTGTAGTATCTATGCATCAAAGAAAGGTTGTGGACTTTTTTTTTGATGGGTTAAAATGGTATGGTAACCCCGCCTGCGTTAACGGGATACGCTGGCGGAGCACCAGTAAAGGGTGATAGATGAGAATGAAAACAGGCCAGTTAGCCCATCATGATGAATTCATCAGGAATTAACCGTGATAGTTTCCAGGGGAAACCGCGAGGAGGTCGACTTGGTTGAGTATATTGCTAGCAATGGGATTCTCAGTCTCCATTACTAACAATCACTTTTTCCCCGTGCATGATCGACTAACACCATGCACGTTTGCCATTCGAGTAATCGTTTAATTACAATGGGCTTCGTTCAATTAATGTTTTTAGTACCTACACTAGTTTTAAATTTATTAAAAGGTACATCCAAAATATTTTTCGGTATCTTATTATAACATTTAATGCTCATACAAATTTGTAACCATGGATGTAGTACAATGTACTCGCGTTTTATGACGTCGCCATAACACTAAAAACAATATCGCGTAATTCTCGCGGGAATGGCAGATAAAGAGTTGAACGTGGGCGAGACCACAGTAAATTGATAAATTGCAAATAAATATTATAAAGAGGAAAGATTTGTATTTTTGTGCGTATGTTTGTTTGTAATTAATAAACTCAAAAACTACTTTGCCAATTTCAAAAATTCTTTCACCATTAGAAAGCTACATTCACCCTGAGTAACATATATTTATTGCTAGAAAAGATTAGGGATCCTTATTAAAACTTTAGTAACGTAACTCACGGTGTAAACAAATGCTACAAAATATCTTTCGTCGCGTGCGCTGCGGAAACTATTGGTGATAGAACAAAAGTATGTTGTACAATATTGAAGAAAATATCAATAACTACAAAAAACTTCCCGATACTATATGTCCAACTATTATCGTTATGTTACAATTATCACTTTTTAAAATATTGTAAAAACGTCCACCTGTGCGACACGGGCCGCTAGTTGCAAATAAAATCATAGTGTTTATAAGCGTTCTTTAAATTTCTTTGTAACCGACTTCAAATACAAGGATCGGTTTTCATTTCGGCTGTATGCTTTTTGTTTGTTGCCTTATAATTCCGTCGGTTATAAAATAATTTAGAATTTTTTTTTCTAAAAGGATTAATACTTTCAGATTGGTTGCATAGAAATTTTATGAAAATCGTCTCTGTAGTTTAATTTTTAAATAACTAGTTTTCCCACAGTTGAAGTTGGTTTGTTTTGTGGAACATAATCTTATAAATGCTATTCAAATAATCATCATCATATCAGCCTTTAACTGTCCACTGCTGAACATAAGTCTCCCACTTGGAGGGGTTTTGCCAGTAATTACCACGCTTGGCTGGCAGATTGGCAACTGCAGGTGGACTTTAGAAATGTTTTAATAGGGACGCTGCTGCCCATCGCTCTAACATTAAGTTTCCTTAGTCGCCTCTTACGACACCCACAGGAAAGGAAGTAGTGGCCTATTCTATGCCGGGACCATACGGCTCTTCAAGTAAAAATGCAATTTAATCGTGTATAATTTTCTAACTTTTCGTGTAACTATTTGAATAATTTACTTCTTAAATAATTATTTCGAAAACATTAGGAAATGAACTAGCTACATTATTTAGAAAATATTTATCCAAATACTTATGAATTGGTTTTCCAATTTATTCACAGAGTAAATAATCGATATGTTATTTAAGAGTCGGCACTATTGACGTAATGCAATGAAACTGGAATATGTATCTATGCAACCAACTAGAAGTATCAAGACAATAAAATAAATGAACATTCGTTATTTATATCTAACCCCTTTTATAGATTAAATTGTCTTTTTTAATAATACACTTAGATTCAGAATCATCGTCTTTAAATTCAAATATTTATAGTGTTCAAATTTCTTTATACTTACGAATGTAAATAAATATTAACTTTTTTTTAAAAAAATATCTAAATTATGCAATCAAACTACTCAGCTCTATGCAACATTTCAATACAAACTCACCAAAAACTCGTTTATCCTGTCACTAACAGAGATCAAAGTGTTTTATCTATCTAGATGACTACTTAATTTTGACGGATCTTAGTCTGATAGACATTCGGACATTTTCAATATTTATAATTTTAGTTTTGTAATTATTAAATATTGTTTACTTCTATTTGTATTAATTAGATCGTGAATTGATTGTGATAAAAAATTTGGCGCCAAATTCATAAACATGTCACATCACTACTCGTATTTTTTTTTATTTTAATTATTTATTTATTGTGAAACACATTACGATAATAATATTCTAACGAAAGATAAATCGTGTAATGAATTTGTAAATATACTTAGTTACATTATGAACTGGAAAATATGATGTGAAAAGATGAAGTGGAGCGTATATTGTCAGAAAATAGAATATTTAAAAATGGGCTACAGAGCTCTAATATTTTATAAAAATAGATATGTATGTATATTTCAGTGGCCTGTTTGTTTATAGTTATAGGTTAAGTGGGCCGTAAAAATCGGTTAATATTTCATTTCATTCCATACAGTTTAGTAAAACCATTCCGAAAGAAATATCCTTATATATATAGATATATAATGTACAACATTATATATCTACCTCCGCGCATTAATGTTCCAATTACTGTCAACATACAGTATTGAATGATTTATTTATTGATTTGTTTACATTTTCAACCGACTTTAAAAAGAAGGACGTTCATTTTTTTCTTTTCTTTTCATATTTGTCACCTCACAACTTCAACAGTTGTAAACCGATTTGGAAAATTCTTTTTTTTATCTGAAAGGTTATATTTATAGATTTTTACCATAGATATTTTATAAAAATAGTTTAGTTTTTAAATTATTATAACTGGTTATGTCACTATTGAAGTCAGTTGTTTGTAGGATTTATTTATTTGATAGGTTTATTTATGTCATAGCATATTTTCTTATTTATCTGTATTATATATAAGACGGTTGTAAATAAAAAATGCATTATTTGCGACCGATTCATCTCTTTGGTAACAAACTTAAACTAATTTGTATAAAAGCACGTAACCAAATAGTTTGACGTCCATAGATGGATGTAGGATATGACTGTGAAGCAATAAAATATACGAGCAATCAAATAAATTGAGCATTGAATTCGGATGTATGAATTGTGATCTTTTACTTTCATTTACATCCTTATTGTTGAAAAACATTAATCACCATGCTTCTACATAACATTTCCTGCATACTGCGATGATATAAATTCAGCAAATAATACTTTAGAAATGCAATAACCTCAATTATATTCCTAATTAAATTACTCATACGCAACAAGTTATTAATTTACTGGGATCGCCGCACTGATGTTAACGTTGTTATTTCCTTTTCTGTATAATCAGTCATCAGGGAGATAATGATGTGGCAACACACATTTCTCAATCACTTACCTCGTCTTCCTCGTCGTCGTTGTAATAAGGATCGAAGAGCAGATTCTTCCAGAATATGACGTCCGGCGGTATTGCGTACGCGTCGTGATCCCGCAAATTTTCGTACAAAGGGCTCTCGCGACTGACACCCTCCGAACTAGCACTTATCGAACAACTCTCCACTTCGACACTGCCTCCACAGGAGCACCCTTCGTCCGTGTAACTCAAACCGAACTCGATTTCCTCGTAAATGTTCTCGTCGGTGAGCGCATCGCGGACGGGTTCGTAGCCGTCGTCGGTTGGTCTGTCCGGCGTCATAGCGGCGACTGGCATTTCGTTGTCAACACACCTGCCTCCCACCTCTTGGAGAGCGTACACCGAGTACCGCGCCGGTTCAAAGTCGTTTGCCGTGTCAAACGATAGCCGCGACACAGTCGCATGGTGTTGGGACACCACCCGCCTCAGTATCTCGTCGGAGTTGTGAAAACCACTTGAATGGGACCACATCACGGCGTACTCGTCTCTGGCCTCGTTCTCTGTATCCGTACTGCACTCTCTGTAACTCCAGTTAGTGCTTTCACTGTCGCTGTCCGATCCCAGCCGTTTCGCCACCTCCATTATTGTGTTCTCCGTTCTCGCTTCCACGTAGTCGTACCCCGATGATGTGGACGACGACCTTCTTAACCTAACCTTGCGCGGTATCTCCGGCGTGCCTTCACCCTTAACAACTAAAGAATTCGTATCACTAGAGCACACTTTTACACTTCTGGCCGGCGTACTAGTAACAAAAGACACATCTGACATTATAGACTCACCGTCGCTGCACTCGTCCACACCGTTCACAGTTTCCACGGCTTCATCAATCACTTCTAAATCACCTTTAGACTCCGTCATCCCCTGGATACATTCGTCGAATATGTTCAGAATACTTAGTGAAACTTCCTTTTCCTCTGGCGCGAGATTTCTTTGGTATTCGTCTAATTTAAAAATTTCCTTGCCGAGTTGCGAGAGGATATCGTCGAACGCACTATCTGGCGAAGACCTGGACGACTCTTCAGACTCGGGAGATTCCGCTCTCACTGTGATTAAAGGATCGTACTCCTCTATAGATGCCCGTAAGCCGGTCAGCCAGGCGATAATCGGCTGAGCGGAGCGATCCGAGCACAACGTAGCGGCTACCGCGTTCGGAATCCAACTTGTGACTTCGCACATTGTCGCCGCTCAAAACACGATAACCGGTGTATGAATCAACGCAGCATAGAATTCCACGAAGGGACAAGGCTTAACGTTCATTACTAAATGCACAATTCTAATGTATTATTAGGACGGACCCGCTGTTTGCTGTGATGCGATATCGACGACATTTGCACTCGACCGCGATTACTTATCGCGACTGTTTCTTATTTAAACAGTGCGATGTTACGAAAACATACTATTCGAAATGCACATCTTTGACCTCAGTGATAAGAGGAGATACATTTTTCGCTCCGTATTTTTATAGCACGTATACCACACACAATTATTACCCTACAATCTATACAAAAGAACAATAAAAAATAAATAAAAGCTTTTATTGCTGGCCGAAAATAAATTAACTACGAAAATGGAATTCCGATTTCGTCGAACGATCGGATCCCATTCGCGCGCTTTTTTTCCTCGATTTTAAAAATCGAACGGAAGCGTCCGCGCGCGGCACGTCCACTGCGATAGTGGTGAGCGCGTCCAGCTCCAGCAATTAATTCGATGCGTTCATTTAGTATGGAGCCTGTGTGACCGATATTCTGCGTTATTTCTGTGGCGGAGCTGGGTGCGTGGCGTAACCACACCAAAAACTAAAAGCAAATGCACTGTGCATTAGATAAATGAAGCAGATCGGGCGCCGGGACTACATAAGCGATTTATACAGGTCGCTCGCGTGTTACGAACTCGCGGGCCGCGGCTATTGTCTGAAGAATTTTGGAATTTGTTAGTGCGAGATAACTTTGGCATTGGAGTGTCTCTATTACCAGTGCCATTAGGTTAATTACTTAATTAGACTTAAGGAACACCTTCACTGTCCATAGGAAACATATATGTATAGATGTCTACGTGTTTGTTTGTTCTTTTTTATCTTGGTACTGTAGTTAAGATTTTTTACTATACAGAATGAATCATCCTTTGAAGAAAGTGTTGCATAAGTGAAACCGAACATTTGTCCCAAAGAAACGTAGGTGAATAACACCAAAAAAAATTTCGAGTCTCTTATCACCATCCAAAGAACAAGATTTTTTTTTAAAATGTGTTGCACTGATAGAACATCCCTTTAAACGGTTACTAATGATTTTGATATCATCTTTATCAATTGACCATAAGATATATGGTATTACATTGAATAATATTTAAAAAAGACATCTTATTAAAAAAAAAATAAAGAAAATAATTCTCGTTTCGATTGATCGTATTCACGCAGAATGGAGTGGTCACTTGTTGTGCTATATTAAAAAAAGAAAATGCATTGTGACTATAGTTTTCTTTTTACATTTATTTATTATAGTCGACGCTGTGATTTGAGGATGCATATAACAATATGCCAATACGACTATATCCAATAAAAATATGTATGAGTCACCTGTTGAGGAAAAATTCAATTTGTCCTTAACTCCTGTGGTTCAGTGGCTTCTATAGGTAACAGAATTTTGAAATTGGTAATTTTTGGGTTTATTACTATTAGACAAACAAACAAACATACAAAAAACCAAATCTGTCCTCTTTATAATATTAGTATAGTACTGTAGATATAGATAAGGTCGTCCATTGTTTTCTCATTGTGATTATTTCTTGTAATTGTTTGTATCTATAATAAGTTTACTATTGTAATCTTTTAGAGGAAACGATAAAGAGTATCTATCTATCTATAAATTTTAATTATTCTTCTACATATAAGGTTGCTTGGAAGACCTTTATCTTGCTTTTATGTAATTAAGTTAATGTAATTAAATAGTCACTTTGTTTATACACATATTAATAATCTGTATGAAGGGAACAATAAAGAGTTTTCATTCATTCATTCTATCTACAAAAATATATATATCTATTAAATAATAACATATTTTTTCGTTATATATACGTGCATACATTACACAAATATAAGAAAAACAATTAATTATCATACCTGAGGGGGGTATTTTCTATTCTTATCCCTGTAGTTTTCTAAACGAAAAATCTCAAATAATTACACTTTATAACGGTATTTTATAAATATTACATGCTAAAATAGAATGTTTGTAACTTCCACAATTTTTGTGATACCCATGAAAATCGATATTTTGTACAGAGACATATGTTAATATTATTTTATAGTATTGATACTTCTAGGTAGTTGTGTATATTTATTTAACGGGTTCATTAATATAACGGCAGTGCCGACTCTTAATTCATAATAATTACTCATAACCATAGATTAAGAATAGTACTTGCTGGCATTCTCTTTCTACGTACGCAACCCATGTATTTGAATGTTTAAAAATAAAACACACTGTCTATGCCAGTACTAGTGCACATTTCACAAGCATCAGGTATATAAACATATTTGAAACCGAAATAGTGTAATTAACACACTTTTCGCTTTTGATGCATAACACCATTGTTTTATAGCCATAGAAACACCTTAAAAGCCAAACATCAAAACTCGACGTTATGTTCGCGGCGTGCGGGCCCCAGTTTAGACTGCATTAATGAATGAATAAAGCAAGCTACAAAGACCATTCATGAGAAAATTAAATTTCCACATTGGGACACGCAAAACTCACACTTATTACCAAAACCGTGCAGTTCAAAATTGCTTACAGGGCACGTTGTATTTTGAGCCCTTTAATTTTTCGTGTAAACTGTCAATGACCACTGTTTCGACTTTCGCATACATGTGCAGTTAGTTAATGAAGCCTGAATACGCTAAATATAGTTGTATATTGCTTCCGTTCGTCTGTCTATGACAGTAAGGGCGCGTGTGTGACAGGATTTGCTAAATTAACTGTTAAAAATCAAATTTGCTATGCCAATTTACATTGACGTCTCAACATGTCTTATTGACTAGTGTAATCATACCAGCCTTTAACTGTCCACTGCTGAACAGAGGTCTTCTTAACCCTTCTTTGTATAATGGTGGAAATTTCCATCATAACATTGAATGCCCAAAAATTATATAAAATAACCATTTCACTTTAAGTTGATCGTGTCTGAATACCTTTTTAATGTCCATTGCAGAAAAAAAAACATAGCTGTCAAATTAATTTTCAATCATTTTTCCTTTATTTTGAACATGAATTATATCACCTTGATTTATTTCACCAATAAAACAAATCATGCAAAGAAGGGTCTTGTTTATTTATTTTTTATTTATTTATTTATTTAAACATACGCTAAACAAACATTTCACTTAAATAATATCATTAATTACATCAACAATCTCTTTTTAAGAAAATAACATAAATTATACATGTTACATGTGACAAAACAACATAGAAATAAAGATTACACAATTATATAGTAACATTGCTATTTTATTTTGAAATTAGAATAAAAAAAGAAAAATATATAAAAAAAAAATGAATGTAACAGTGTATGTGCAAAGGACCTAACTCAGCATATGGGGAGGGAAAGGGATTGTTAGTAATAGAGACTGAGAATCCCATTGCTAGCAATATACCCAACCAGGTCGAACTCCTCGCGGTTCCCCCTGGAAACTATCACGGTGAATTCCTGATGAATTCATCATGATGGGCTAACTGGCCTGTTTTCATTCTCATCTATCACGCTTCACTGGTGCTCCGATAGCGTATCCCGTTAGCGCAGGCGGGGTTACTATTCTATTTTCACCCATAAAAAAAACTCAGCATATGTCGCAGTTTCATATCTGAAGCTATGACACTGATTTTCAATAGGCCCTAGTCTGTTTAGTAGTTATAATTGTTACTTAGCATACATTGACGCTTATCTGTGAGAGCTGTATGCACCTTTAATTGATGTGTTCATATAGCCTTAAGCTTGGTAGTGAGGAGTGAGATTTTTTTGTTCAAACTTAGATGTAAGCATTTTTTTATAGTAGTTTTTCTCTTGTACTTACTAATAACATTGTATATTGTCTGCTTAATTACTATGAGCATATTGTTGGTGTGTCTTTTATAAATAAATAAGTAGTTGTAACGCTTGGTAGGCGGAATGGATTTTAATTCCTCTTACCACTTAATTAGTCAAAATGCAAACTTATCGTCAGAAATCGCTAGATGAATGAAAAAAATTTGTAAACAAATTTTTGACCAGTGTTTTTTTTTTATAAAACAGAGAGCAAACGAGCACGCAGCTCACCTGATGGTAAGTGACAACCGCCGCTCATGAATACCCGCAACACTAGAGGTTTTGCAGGTGTCGCGAGCTTTTTAAAAAGAAATATGCTCATTTCTCGAAGGGACAGTTCAATATTCTCTTTTTAATCTGTACAATCAAACCTGTACAACTTAATTAACCTGTACAAACAAACAAACAGACAGACAGAGAAACAAAAATATTTGTATATTTGTTACGCAACTACGCTTAAACAGCTCAACGGATTTGAATAAAATTTGGTACACGGATAAATGATATCCTAATTTGACACATAAGACAGTGATATCCACGGGGAAAGATGAGTAACAGCTAGTAAATGATAGAATAGTCTAAAAAAATTTGGTACGACAGTGACCAGCGTGCAGTCACCCATCGAAACCAATTCAGACAATTTACAGTCAGCCAGTTACTAATTGCGCCCAATGTAGCCCAATTAGTCTTTTTTTGACTCACACAAGCTGGAAATCTATTTTTACTCGTATTGTTATGTTATATTTTTATTAGTGTCCGACAGAACTTTCGGTTTCAGTTTCGGCTAGTTTCGGCCAGAAATTCTACGTTCGGATTTACCCATTCATTACTAACAATCCCTTTCCCCCCTGAGAAAGTGAGTTTGTTTGTTACATCGTGATGCCTTAATGACTAAACCAATTTGTCTTGAAGTTTGGTATAAATTTACTAGATATTTGGGACGGAGCAGTCTTCTCGCTTGTTCTAGTTAGCAAGGGAGCAGTCAATCCCTGTTACTAACAATCCCTTTCCTCCACCCAACCCAATGCATTTAGGCTCAGCATGTATCTTGTAAGTTTTTTTTAACAAAAAGTGCATTGCCATCTCCGCTTTGGGGTCACGGTGCGCAGGCGCAGTGACCCGCATAATAGTATTTAAATCAGCCGATAAAGATAACAGACAGACAGACGCCCTGTTGTATTGCACTCGTATCTGATGTATGAGGTACTAGGTCATATTTAAAAATAGCTTTTATTCTGACTTTTAGAACCAAAGTGATATGGTCAAGAAACAGTCGAAATTGTGTCTGAAAACGTCAAATTTCACGTTTACGTAGGGCTGGCATCATTTAAATTGTCGACACCGGATGAATACGGCAAAAATCCCGGACATTTGAGCGAAATATGGTTTTTCCCCAGACACCTCTGAAAAAAGTTTTTTTTTTTAACAAAAATTATAAGATTGTTATATAAAAAACAGGGTTATTGTGGATGAATTTGTAACTAAGATTTATTTCAATTGATCGCCTACCTACAAAATTTTTCCCTAACAACAAAAGACACTTTTCAAAAACCCTGCCGAACGGTCCCCGGACGCCCTTCAAACTAGAACAAATCCCGGGAATTC